GTGGAAACTTATAGCTATGTCAAAATGTCAAGAAGTGTTGTCCCCACAGTCTTCTGTTAAAAGCAGTTCATTTTTTCTGTTGTCTCCATTACTGTGAGAGAAGAGGGCTGTATCTCATTGTTTGTCTTCCCTTGGCATTGTCGGCATCATAAAAAAAAAAAATCATGACATGAATTCTACGTAGTTCATAACATACCAAGATATCCACAGCAGATGTCACAAGCTTTCACACATTGCACAATGAAAGCAAGCTTGTATAGAGCTCTGTAGTGTAATGCTAAACTTCAAAGAATAAAATGTTATAGAATTATAGATGACGATATTTACACAGGGGCTCTGATTCAGCAAAGCACTTAGACATGTGCCTATCTTTAAGCATTACTCTGATGGGACTACTCAAATTTTTAAAGTTAAGCACATGCTTAAGAGCTTTGTTGAATTGGGACCATATAATTGTAAACAAAACGTTTTTAATTAGCTTAGTGCTAGTTTAAATGGAAGTGCAATTAAAATGGCGCCTATGAACTCAGCAGACCCACCCCCTGTGTGTATTCAGATTTGTTTTCAATGATTTCGATATTAAAAATATTTTTTCTCTTGCTAGCACCAGAGTCAGTAGAGCTCTGGGATAATTAGCTGGGTTCTATTGTGCCTCCAATGTACTAACAGGATTTTGAATTACATTTGTACTGCAGAATATTTTACTGGTTATGAGGCACATACCAGAAAGAACAAATGTTGCTTTTCAGATCCCAGGCTGAATCTGCAGGGCTGCAGTCAGAAAAAAAAAATCTACTCCTAAACTAAGTAAAAGTAATCCTGTAAATGAGAAGTCATTGGGAGACACATACAGAACCACAAGATGCCAAGTCACTTTCAGAAGAGAACAGTGTTTTTAAAATGTGTATATTATTGGCACATGTGGAATGTTTATCAGAAAATTATTTTGTATTTGTGCCTCAACACCTCTTTGATGGGTTTCACTCAAATATCTGAGTTACAAAAATATGCCAAGACCCAAGTTCAGTGTTTTGTGTTTCTTCTGCTGCTGTTGATCATGTTACTACCTGAAGTTGAGCAGGGAACTGCATTCCAGAAATATTGTGAGTGTTAGATTAATCATAGCTGGGCTAGCACTGAACTCCAAACTTGGGTCTTGACAGGCAGTAAAAGAGGTGGTGATTTTCAAATACTACATTTAATCCTACAGTTCTCACACTCAGGCAAAACACCCATTGAGATCAAAGTCTTGGTATGGAATGCAGATTGGACACATTCTGTTTCACAGATTCCAAGGCCAGAAGGGACCATTATGAACATCCAGTCTGACCTCATGTATAACAAGCCATAGAACTTCTCAAATAGTTCCTAGAGCATATCCAATCTTGATTTTTAAAATTGCCAGTGATGAAGAATCCATCACGACGCTTGGCAAATTGTTCCAATGGTTAATTACTCTGACTGTTAAAAATGTACACCTTATTTCCAGTCTGAATGTGTCTAGCTTCAGCTTCCAGCCATTGGATCATGCTATACCAGGGGTAGGCAACCTATGGCACGCGTGCCGATTTTCAGTGGTGCTCATGCTGCCCGGGTCCTGGCTTCTTAAACATTTTAAAAACCTTATTTACTTTACATGCAACAATAGTTTAGTTATATATTATACACTTATAGAAAGAGACCTTCTAAAAACGTTAAAATGTATTACTGGCACGTGAAACCTTAAATCAGACTGAATAAATGAAGACTCGGCACACCACTTCTGAAAGGTTGCCAACCCCCGTGCTATACCTTTCTGTGCTAGACTGACGAGCCCGTTATTAAATATTTGTTCCCCCCATATGTACCTACAGACTGTAATCAAGTCACCCCTTAACCTTCTCTTTGTTAAACTAAATAGATTGAACTTTGGGAGTCTATCACTATAAACCATATTTTCTAATCCTTTAATCATTCTTGTGGCTCTTCTCTGGACCCTCTCCAATTTAAAACTGCTCAATAATTTTGTCTACACACACTGTATTCTGTTTGGGCCAATCCTGCAGTCCTTACTTAGGCAGAACTCCCACTGACCATAGCAGGAGTTTTGCCTAGTTAAAGACCTTAATATGAGTTCGGTAGTTTGAAAATCTGTTCCTTCTTTGCTAACCTGTAAAGACTTGAGTACAGATTACTGTGACTGCAATAAAGCCTTTGCCTGAGTAAAGGTTGCCGGGTCAATTCAAGCATAATCTTGGATTACTTTTGTTTACATAAAAATTTAATTCACATTTAAAAAAAATCCACTTGACAGACTAGAAGTTAAATCTACTAGATTAGAATGAACTATGTTCAAGAAAATGAAAGTGAATTTTTCACACCAATAGATAAGGTGGGAAAGCTGCCATAACTAAGTGATAAAAAGATTGTTTTTTATTCAGCTAGAGTATCTTATCAAGAAAATATGAAAGAAATGATAAACAGCATTTTTGAAAATAAATATTACCTCATGAACTCAGTATACAGTAGGCATGCTTAAAAATTTCTCAATTTAAGATTTTTACCAGACTCCCATTTTATAGTTCTCCATAAGAAATATGTTGTTAATTATTGTTAGTCTGTGGTGGTTTTGCATTCAGCTTTGCACTTTAGAAAAGGGTAGAAAGGCTGAGATAACTCAGGGAACTAGCATATCAGCTTTTCTGCTTGGAAATGTAGTTCAAATCCTATCTTAAGTTATGCGTGCAAATGTGTTTCTTAGCCTAGTCTCCATTTGTGCACATTATAAATCCATCATGTACCATGGCACAATTCAAGTAGATTCTGCTCAAATAAAGCCAATGTCTCTAATATCAGGGACTGAGCAGGTCAAATTCTAGGTATTGTATGTTGGCAGATATAATGAGGTTGTAATATCCTACATAGAGACCAAGTTAGCCACACTTCCTCCTGAAGCTCTGCTTTTCTCCTGCACCCTGACAGCCTCTTGGAGGGCTGGCTCTTCCTGCACCCCAGAACTGCTCAGGCTCTTCTGTGCTACTCTGCCAGTCTATTTCCCTCCCTTCTAAAACACATAGCCAAGGTGAGGAGATGATCACATTAACATTCTATTTTGTGCTTGTTTCCCTGCTGTTACCATGTGTATTTGGCTAAGCAGGGAGTGATGTGTGGATGGACTGACAGGGCTATCTACTTGCGGGTGTCCATCACCCCATGCTATTGATAAGAGTTTAGATAGGTCATAAATGATCATTTTGGAGGACATAAGCAAGGAAAAAAGATAGGAGAAAGCAAATCCAAATCAGCCTCTAAGTCTGTCCAGTCTTTCTCCAGTACTGCCACACATTCATAAGCCACTGGTTGGAGCTTTGAAACTCAGACAGGCTCTCCGGTGGTTGATAGTATAAGAACCTAGATAGATACTACCAGCTAAACCACACCAGCATGTTGATTGAACCATTCCACTTCTAAGACACAGGCCTCTGCCAGCTAGAAGAGAAACTCTAAAGTTTATCTATAACTACTTTGTAGGCCAGCCACTAATGGGTAATCAAACATAGGGCAGTAATATGCATGTGTATCACCCAGTACATTTCAAAGTTGTGTGGAGAAGCTTTCACAATGCCTGCTCACACCTTTTCTGCTTTTGCCATTGGTCTCTCTCTCTAATAAACACTAAAAATTCACTCATAAATTAAGGGATGAGTGAAAAAATAGAACTCATACTTAGTCATAAAACATTGCCAACAGTTCATATTTTTGCCATTCTGTTTTTTCCTTTGACTTTTCCCCTCAAAAAAGTTGTTTGCTCACTAATAGCACATAGTGCAATCCTTCACTTCTTTTCTGACCCAATGGATTGGTCAACAGGCTATAGCTAGCTTCCTCCTCTTCCCCACCCCAAACACAGAACACTGACTGCCCCCCCCCGCCCCCAGCAATGCTCTCTCCTTTTGCTCCTATCAGTTCCTACTGGCAGCACTGCTACTATGAAAGCCTAGTTGCTGATGTTAGTAGCTTTCTTTCACCTGTCTTCTTACTGATAGGAGGCTAAAAATAATAGTCATCTTAGCATAATAAGCTGACATAATTTAAGAACTGCAGACATGGCATAAAATGTACAGCTTTCAGAATTTAATCTTATGAAGGGTATTTGCAATTGAGACACAGAAAAAGAAAGAACTTGCTGTTCTATGCAACCCAACAATCAATACATTATTTTATAGAAGGTCTTTGTATATTAATAAAAAATTAAACGGCTAAAACAGTGGGTCTATACTCGAGTGTTTACTTCACATATGCATGAGGGAAAAATAAAAGTTGGGTCAACAATTCTATGTTCACATTATCCAGGCTTCCAAGTGTAGTTGTTGTGTGCCAGTTATCTGTGTTCATGTGGTAACTGTGACTTCCCCTTCTGTGGTAGCATGGTTTTGCCTAGTATTTTGTCTGCTTGGCTTTTTGTGCTCCTGGCTGCCTTCATTTCGATTTTGCTTTGAAAACATTGTTTTTTCTGTTTGTACATTTGGCTCCTCTTTGTGTGTGTGTCTCATACGTACCTATCCGACTGTGTCTGTGTTTTGTGCTTTCCCGTTTGTGAAGTGTGATATGTTACATGTTTTTTTTACTATACAAATGAGACTTTTTTTTAAAAAAAAAAGCCTTTCTACTTACTCACTGCAAAACTATCAACATGCATGGTTCTACATTTGCATTAAAATTAACATGGCTTGTCTTTTACTAGGGATGTACCACATGAGTGGACGTTCATTTTCTTTAACCAGTGCTTCCCATCAATTCCTTGATGGCTTTAAACTCAATTTGTTTTAATATTGCAGTTCGTACAGACACTCTAAATGCACAAAACTGAGCCACTCGTTTATGCATATAACATCCAGAGACTATGGACTTCGGCTGCCTGCACTGCCCTAACCATATGCTACATTTTTCAAAAAGTATTCTCTAGCACTGTTCTCTAAAGGTTGTTACCTCTGACATCTCTTTCCTCTTTTCCCCCTCAGATCCGCGTCGTGAAGGCATTCCGTAGCTCTCTCTATGAAGGGTTAGAAAAACCAGAATCTAGAACCTCCATTCACAACTTTATGACTCATCCTGAATTTAGGATAGAAGATTCCCAACCCCACATCCCACTCATTGATGACACAGACCTAGAAGAAGACCCTGCTCTCAAGCTAAACTCTAGCCCACCGTCTTCGCTGAACAAGAACAACAGTGCTATCGACAGTGGAATAAATCTTACAACTGACACAAGTAAATCAGCTACCTCTTCTAGTCCAGGAAGCCCAATACATAGCCTGGAGACATCACTTTAGCTGAAAGTTCACTGCAAAAAAATATATAAATAAAAACAGCAACAGAAGTATATATATATATAGATAGATAGATATATAAAAAACTGTGCTGGCTGAGAAGCTGTTTGAACTCTTATTCACTTTGTGACAAGTGAATGAATTACTGATCACAGTGGTTTGGGGGAAAGAATGAATGGCTGATTTACATACCCCTTTTTGCTCCCTTGCAGAAAAACAAAAACAAAGAACCCTCCTGCATGAATGTACTGTGCACTTCCAGCCCCCACCCTGCTTTCTCTCACGCGCGCTGTCTCTCTCTCTCTCTCTCTCTTTTTTTTAAGCAGTAAATGCAGAGAACTTTTTTCTGAGGCTATTTATCCAATTCACTGGTCTGTGAGTTTTTTGAAATGCTTGTGTGGCATGGATTCAGTTGTATAGATTAATTTAAATAACGTTTTTGAAGTTGCAAAGCTTAACTTGCACAGTAGATTTGCACCAGTTGGACAGAGAAACTTAAACAATTATGAGATTATATATAGAGATATATACATATAAATATATACATAATTAATGATATACATATATATGTATATATCTATCTATATATTTAGTTATATATAAAGTTTCTTTGTTGGCATGTTGCCTTGTTTCTGCTCAAATTGCTCTGACTATTTTAACTTATTTATGTCCTAAAAAAAAAAGAATGTAATTTGTTTACAAACCTGTAGATAATATCCTTAACTATTTGTAGGATTAAGAAAGCACTTCCTGCCGAAGTAGTATAAAAATTGCTCAGCTCTTTGAAAACTTCTGTAATATTGCACCTTGGATGTTTTATTACAACCGTGTTCTGATTTTGCCTGCCTTTTTTGTTTTTTTTTTGTTTTTTGGTTAAATAATGTAGATACTGCTAGCAAATAACAAAAGAAGCCAAAATATAACACATTGGATGTAGCATTGTTATCCTATATACAGGGCAGTGAACAGGCTTCCTTTGTTTCAAATACAAAGTTGAAATGATCAGGTTTTCTTTCCTTTTTTTTTTTTAATAAATTGCTTGAACTTGTTTTGGTGCAACACTCGATGGAGGCCATTTCATTGTTTCAGTGTATTGAAATGGCTTCTTCAAAGTATTTTTAAAAAAAAGTTGTTATATGAAACTCAGTTTAGTTTATGAATAACAATTCAAAGATAAGTTATATTTGGCTTTGTGTATGGAGATCAAACTAGTGTTGAAATATTGTGATATATTGTGTTGATTCTTTTCCGTTAGTAATTTAGACATTCATTTCCTTATTAATTACAAGAATATGGGCTGTTGGCATTTTGGATGGAAAATCACTATGGTTTGTTGCTTTGACTTTTTAAAAGAAAAAGATAATCATTTTCTGCACTATCTAGATCTGAATGAAATTTTATGAAGTGTATATTGAAATGTGCTTTGTGTGATTTTTTTTTATCAAGCTTGTCTTCCTGTAGTCACAAAATATACTGTAGCTAATTAACAATGTTGTTTTACCTATGTATTGAGCTTTCGACAAGGGAAGCCGTTTTGAAAACCTGCAGTATCATGGGTGAGAAATATTTTTCAAGATGGTAATAGCCCTGGTAACTTAAATTTATGAGCTTATATAATCGCTATGTCAACCACTTGAATGCTAAGCACTTTGTGGGTCACAGATTTTTCATAAATAATTTTGTATTTAATACAAAGTTTGCTTCAAGACTTTTCAGCAAGCATATGATCTTTTCCATAATCTTGTACAGTGCAAAAGACATTTTGAAAAACATGATCAATTATGCCAGAAAAACACGTTCAAACTAGCTTGATAAACTGATTTGTTGTTGTATTGTGTGTTGTTTTAAAGTTGACTAAGAAAGCGGTGCATCTCTGCAGTCACAAGAACTATTACGAGCCAGAGAACTCTCCAAACAATATTAGACTCATGGCCAAACTGCAGATTGAAATGACTAAAAGATTTTCAGGGTGCATCAGGACTATTCAGCCAGGTAAAACTCTAATCAGCTCGAATTGCCAGCTTCCGGACTTTTGTGCAGAAGCTTGAATGTTTTTTGGCTCAAACTCATAGCTCACTGTCTGATTCAAACTTTTCACTGAACAGCAGATCTTTCAAGGCTTACAGAACTGTTTTCAACAGATACCGTTACCCATTTCTTAACAGTAAAAGCTGGCATGAAAACATAATTGAATTTAACTAATTCTTAGTAGCAAAGTGATTGAAACTTAGTAGCATTGTTCCTTGGATTGTAAATACAGGGACTGACCTTTGTATAACATGTATTGGGTTTCTATGGCCTATTTGGGATACTATGTTCAGAAAAAAAAAGTTATCCATTCTATTTATAGGGAAGAGCCTCTGTCATTGCATTGGACTTGAGCAGCTACAAAATCTGTCAGTACTGGAACGTAATTTTCAATAACTTAACAATGATGATTTGCCTTTTATTTTCAAGCTGTCTTTTTCGTCAGATTCTTTCTTTGTTTCATTTGATTTAATTTTCCTCTAGTAGAACCCGTTCAGAATACCAATAGGGTACCATTTGCAGACTTGAAAAACTGTTTAAAAATAAATGAACACAACATTCTGTGTGTATATATAGTAAAAACATATATAAATTGAGATGCATAGAAAACTTGGGCTTCTGTGAGCAGAGACTGTGCTTTATGTATATGATAAATGATAGACTTTTTTAAAAAAAAAATAGAATAGTTATGACCTTTCAACTACAAGTCATGCATCACAATTCATTTCTTTTATTGCTTGACCTCTCTGTGATGGGAACAATGGATCAAAAAACCAAAATGATCAGTTTGTTAAAATTCACTGCAATATATAAATGCTTGCTCTCTACATACTGTACTTAGCAGCATGAGATTTGTGGAAAACAATACAGTGGTACATTTGGCAATCCGTCCCATTAGGGGTTATTAACATATATTAATTCATCTGTTTTTATGAATTTTTTTATCTAGACAATAATTGTAAATAAAGAACTTACTGTCTCTGTTCATTTAATACTATGCAAAAGGTTATGCTTTCTATTGTTTATTCCTATTCCTACAGTGTGATGCTGGAATGTTTGTGGTTTAAAAAACAAAAAAACAAACAAAAAAGACAAAAGTAAGTAAAATATGTGATGTAAATTATTTTATAGTTTGAAACAAAATGATAAAGTTTTATTCTTGCTGCTTACTGTCTAATAGATATCTCCTGGCAGGAGCACAGGTGGAAAATTAAATAAAAATAAATTCACAAAGCAGCATGAACGATAATGGTCTGAACTTAACATCCTTCTTTATTTTCACTTTAAATCAATAAAACATAACTTGAACCCCATGGGCATATTTTAATGCGGGGGGTGGATGTTTGCACGCGTGCATGCTTTTTTTTTTTTTAAGTAGAGGTATGAAAATGATTGTGAAAGCCTCTCATCCAGCGCTTACAATGACACCCTTAGGTCTGCACCACACACCCTGACAAGCCAGCCCAGAGCACCATTGTTCCTAACAAACTGTAGTGCTAGCAGTCAGTGACAGAGATTGCAATTCCTGGTTTTTGCAGTCTGGTTCCACTACTTTGTCCATGTAGTGGTGGCTTGGGGTGCTGGGGATCACAGGTAAGATGTGGCTATTATTTTGATTGTGTTTGTTGGTAGTGATGAAGCCCCTACATAGGAGGCTTGTGTAGTTTAACATTAGCCCTACATTGAGTATACATTTTAATACAAATTAGGTACATTTTCCTACCACTTTTTCACTTTTGGTGGTAGTTTTAGTACATCTGTCTTGATAGTGTTTCTTCAT